ATCTGTGGAGGTCCCAGTACAATCTCCTCCCACTTCTGCCTCTAATTGAATCCCATTAGCTTAAGGTTTCTACCATGCAATCCATTGAAAAGTCTGTAGTTCTTTGGCTTATCCAAATCTTGGCTAACCTTGCAATTATCATTACAGATGATCAAAACTCAAACCAAACCCACTGCCATCGAGTCAGTACTGACTCCTGGTGATCCTATAGGACAGAGAAGAACTGCCCTTATAAATTTCCAAGACTATAACTGTTACAGGAGTAGAAAGGCTCATCGTTCTCTGGGGGAACTGTTGATGGTGTTGAATTGTGGGCCTTACGGATTGCAGCCCAACTTGTAACCACTACACCATCCAGGGCAGAGAGACCAGGAATCCTTCAGATTCCTGGTAACCACTAACCAACTTTGTTCTCTATATATCTGCCTTTTCCTTGTATTTTTATGTGTGTGGTCATATAATATTGGTCTTTTGTGATTAATATGAGGGTGCTTTAAAAAGTTTTGGGGTACATGGAATGAAAAGATAATGGAATTTTTCTACAAACGTTTTTGAAATGCCCTTATATTTTGCTCAGTATAAAATCTTCATGCTCTATCTATCTATACTGCAGTACGTAGCGAAACTACCTTTCTCCTGCTGGTTGAGCAGTATTCCGGCACACACACATACCACATGTACATCACCCTTTCATCTGTAGAGGGCAGGTATGAGTTTCCCCATTTGCCTATTGTGAATAGGGTCAGGAGTGCGGCCATGAACACAGTGTTTCACTATCTGCATGACTCAAGGAGCTCAAATACCTGAGCAGACAATCAATAATGATTCTTTCCTTCCAAATCTGTCGTTCTCAACCTGTGGGCTGCAACTCCTTTAGGGTCACCTAAGACTATCATTTTCTATGGTCTTAGGAACCGAGATACCACTCCATTATCCGTCTCCTGGCGGGCCCGCCCATACGCCACATACGAGTCCCTGGCATGAAGACTGTTACCCATGCTACACCATGCTTCAAGACAACATTCCATTTATTTGTCATTATAAATAAATATTTCGAAATATATAATTACATATTGTTTTGTGATTATATAATCGCTACACTTTAATTATGTTCAATTTGTAACAATGAAAATACATCCTGCATATCGGATATTTACATGACGATTCACAACAGTAGCAAAATTGCAGTTATGAAGTAGCAGCGAAAATAATTTTATGGCTGGGGGTCAACACAACATGAGGAACTGTATTAAAGGGTGGTCACATTAGGAAGGTTGAGAACCACTGTTCTAAATCATAGTTCTCAGGGAAGCAGGCCAGGCCATGATTACCAAGCACTAAAGTTGGCTAGTGAAAAATACAATCATTTGCTCACCCTTCTGAAGCCCATCCCACCACTATGAGAACAAGCCAAGGAGATGTCCAGAGGTCCTAGCCGTTCAATCTATTCCACACACGGACTTACACACATCCCTGACACCAAAGGGAAAGGGCATCGGTGAACCTCCCAGGTTTACCTGTAGAGAATCGTGACACATTCTTCTGCCTCACCCCCACATGCTTGAAATGAACTTGTATGCAACTAAAGACAGCACATCCACTTCAGTTTTACTGTTCTTCCTCTTTTAGCCACCCAGACCAACATTTAGATCAGATGGGGTAAGGAAGCAAAGGGGTCGTTTCTGTAGTTGCTGTTGTTTTCATGAAACAAGCTTTTATTTTATTTTTTTTTCCTGTTGAACATCCCCCCCGTCCTTTTTTGTAACTCCCCCACCCCCCCACACCCGATTATGACAAATTCTTTTTTTTAATCATTTTATTGGGTCGTACAATTCTTATCACAATCCATACATGCATCCATTGTGTCAAGCACATCTGTACATTTGTTGCCATCATCACTCTCAAAACATCTACTTTCTACTTGAGCCCTTGATATTATGACAAATTCTTTTCTTTTTTTTTTTGACAAATTCTTAAGGGCAGTAGAAGACATGGATTTGAAAAGCTGCCAGGCTATGGTTTTTGTGCATCCCCATGAAAGTGTGTTTTACTGTGGGCTTTGGGGTGTGCTTGGAGTTTGTTTAGTTTTCAGGGGCATATGGACAAGGATGTAATGCAACGTATGAATATTGAATTTTCCTGCTTGATTCTCATTATAGTCTTCTCTATTCTTTTTTTTCTTAGCACTCTGTGGTAGTTTAATAATCGTTTGTCAATTTGAGGATTAAGAGTGTAGAGGTGGAGTCTAGCCTGTCAATCAGATCATAGGCAATGAGACCTCTGTGTAGGCACAGCCTTCTCCTGAGAATTCTGGGAACTCCTGGATTTCCTCCTTGGAGGTGGGAGTTTCTTTCTCTCTCTCTCAGCTTTCTTCCTGTGAGACTTTCCTGATGAGAAGCCACATGAAGCTACCATCATGCAGCCAGAACCCTGGGAGCTGAAAAAGCCAGGTAGAGACCCCTACCAGTGCTGAGATGCTTACAACGCCACTGGATTCACAAGACTTTCAACCCACTGGCCTGTGATCTTCCTGCATTCGGCATCATTGCATGTGTTTTGTGAGTTTGAAGAGGACTTTATAGATTGGTATCAAACATATGGGCTAATATCAGACTTATGGACTTGATCTGGACTGGGCTGGGATGTTTTCTCAATATTCAACTGCTCTTATATAAAGCTCTTTCTTATACACATATGAGTGTCCATGAATTTGTTTCTCTAGTCTACCCGGACTAACACACACTCCCTGGAGAGAACCTTTCTTGCTGAGGGATTTGCACAGCTTTAAGGAGGAAGATTTTAATGTTGTGATGTTGCAGACATGTAATTAAATAATGGCAGGAATTTCAAAGGCAAGATGGAATCAACTTTACAGAGTTTTATTAAGGTCAAATATACTTCAGCTAACTTTATTTTTACTGCCTTGACTGTAGTAATGGCTATTTCCTTTCCTTGTAAACACATTACATAATTTACTTAGCTATAGCCCATTCATTCTCTAATAGTAAAGCAACTTTCTAATTTGTGTCAAAAATTAAAAGTTTGAGCAAGACATAAAATATGCAATGACTTTAATTATGAGCTGCTCTTACCATAGCATAGCGTCCATCCACTGCCAAGATCAAGACGTCTATTGGTGACGTATGGTTGGCAACACAAATGCCTCCTTTCTGGGGTCTGTACTGCCTGCAAGTACAAAAACAGTAAGTACTAAACTTGGGAAATGGTCTATTTTGTAGAACACCATACAGGGCCTCAACCTAATTTGTCTTACAAAAAAGCACAGGAAAAAAATTTGAGAAAACAATTCGACAATCTCTCAAAAAATTAGTCACCATAAACTCACAAACTCATTGCCATCAACCAATGGTGACTTATAGTGGCCCTCTGTGGGTTTCCAAGGCTGTAACAGTTTACCAGAGTAAAAAAACAGTCTTACTCCCTCGGAGCTGCTTATGATTTGGAACTGCTGACTATGCAGATTGCAGCCCAATGCTTAAGCATTACACCACCAGGGCAAATTTTGTATTATACTTATTTTGCCCAAATACTCAAAAACGCTCACAGCTGTCAAGTCAATGCCAACACATAGGGACCTTTTGGGTTTCTAAGACTAATTGTTTACAAGAAAGGCCCTGTGTTTCTCCCAAAGAACCGCTGACCTTGTGAAGTGCAGTCCAAAGTTTAACCATGATGGCACCAGAACAAGTGTCAAAAATAAAATATAGGTTGGAAATATATGGACCCCTCTGAAAAACAGTCACCTCTAGACAGTAATGATCTTGTTGTTGTTGCCATCAAGTTGGTTCCAACTCATAGTGACCCGATGTACAACAGAACAAAACACCACCGGGGCCTGGGCCACCCTACTCATTGTTCTTATGGGAGAGCCCACCGCTGCAGCCACTGTGTCAACCCTTCCGGTCCAGGCCCTTCCTGCTTTTCACCGCCTCTCTACTTTGCTAAGCATTATGTGCGTCTCCGGGCACTGCTCTCTCCTGACAACATGCTCTCAGTGCCTGAGCCAGTCTTGACATCCTTGTCTCTAAAGAGCACTCCGGCTATCCTTCTTCCCAAACGGATTTGCTTGTTCCTTTGACAGTCGCTGGGACTTCCCTTATTCTTGCCAGCACCACAATTCAAAGGCATCAATTCTTCTCTGGGTTTTCTGATTCGATGTCCAATTTTCACAGGCATATGAGGCAACTGAAAATACCATGCCTTGGGTCCAGTCACCTTAGTCTTCAATGTGAAGTTCTTGCTTTTCAACATTTTAAAGAGGTCTTGTATGGCAGAGTTAGCTAATGCAATGTGTCTTTTGATCTCTTGACCGATGCTTCCATGAGAATTGATTGTGGATCCACGCAAGATGAAAGCGTTGACAATTTCAATGTTTTTCCCGTTTACCATGATATTACCTATTATTGGTCCAGCTGGGAGAGTTTTGGTTTTCATTACTCTAAACGGTAATTCATACTGAAAGCTGTAATCCTTGGTCTTCAAAATCAAGTGCTTCAAGTCCTCCATAATTTCTAGCAAGCCAAGCTGTATCATCTGCATAGCAGGTTGTTAATAAGCCTCTGCCAATCCCAATAATTCTTTATAACTGCCTCTTGATCCATGCACAAGCTCTGCATGAGCACAATGAAGTGTTCTGGAATTCCCATTCTTCTCAAGGTTATCCATAGTTTGCTATAATCCACACAGTCAAATGCCTTGGCACAGCGAATTAAACACAAGTAAATATCATTCTGGTGTTATCTGCTTTCAGACCGGTTCCTTTTGACATCAGCAATGAGATCCCTTGTTCCATCGCCTCTTCTGAATCTAGCTTGAACCTCGGCAGTTCTCTATCAATAAATATAGTGTTGCAACTGTTGCTGGGTGATCTTCAGCAGAATGTTACTTGCATGCACTATCAGTGATAGGAATCTATAATTTGACCATTCTGTTGGGTCACCTTTCTTAGGAATTGGATAAAACTATTTCTCCAAGTCCATTGGTGCAGTAGTTGTCTTCCAGATTTCTTGGCAGACACTGTGAGGGCTCTTCCAGTGTTTCAACAGCCTCCAGGGCAGCTCAGACTTCTTCCTTCAATAGCATTGATCCTTGATCGTATTCTACATCTTGATAGGGGTGAATGATGACTAGTTCTTCTGGTACAGTGACTCTGTTTATTCTTTCCATTTTCTTTTGGTGCACGTTGATAACAACCTGCAGATGATACAGCTTGGCTTGCTAAAAATTATGGGGGACTTGAAGCACTTGCTTTTGGAAATCAAGGATTACAGCTCTCAGTATGAATTACAATTCTGCATCATTCAATATTTTTCCCATAGACTCTTTCAATATTGCAGCTGAAGGGTTAATTTTTTCATTTAGTTCTTTCAGTTTAAGATATGTTAAGTGTGTTCATCCTTTTTGGTTTTCGAACTGTCCGTCTTTTCACATTTCATTATATTATTTTACTTTGTTTTCTGGGGCTGCCCTTTGAACGTTTCTGTTCAGCTCTTCTTCTATTGGCCTTAGCTACTCTATAATTAAGAGCAAGTTTCTGAAGTCTCTGTTGATCTTTTCTTTCTTTCCTATCTTTTCAAAATCTTTTGCTTTCATGTATGATGTTCTTTGATTTCATCACACAGCTTATCAGGTCCTCTGTCATTAGTGTTCCATGTGTTCTTGAGATAGTCTTGAAATTCAGGTGGGATATAGTCAAGGTGGTGAACTTGTTTTCATTTTCTTTAACGTCATCCTGAACTTTACATATGAACAATTGGTGTCTGTTCCAAAGTGGGCCCCTGGCCTGGTTTTAGCTGTTTAAATAGTGAGTTTCTCCATCATCTTTTCTGCGATGTAGTCTATTTGATTTCTGTGTAGTCTATATGAAGAACTATATGTAGTCTATGTGAAGTCGTCTTTTGTCTTGAGGAAAAAAGGTATTTGCTATGAACAAGTCAATGGTCTTGCAAAGTTCTATCATGTTATCTCCAGCTTCATTTCTATAACCAAGACCCTATTTTCCGACTACTGTTCCTTCCTCTTTATAACCAACATTTGCATTCCAAATGCCAATAATTATCAATGCATCTTGATGGAATGTTTGATTATTCTCCAACTGAAGACATTGGTAGAATTCTCCCAATTTCTGCATCACTAGCTTTAGTGGTTAGTGCATAAATCCGAATAATGATTGAATTGATGGGATTTTCTTGTGAGAAGATAAAAATTATCTATCACAGACGGCACTGGACTTAAGAAAGATCTTAGAGTGTCCTTTTTGACAATGAATGCAATACTATTCCTGTTGAATCTGTGATCCCAAGTATAGGAATTCTGACTATTTTCTAATTCAAATTGCAGTACTAGTCCATTTCCACTCGCTATTGCCTAGGATCTTTACTCATTCCACCTTGTTATTAACAACTTCCAATTTTCCTAGATTCGTACTTGGTACATTCCCAGCTTCAATTTTTTTAAATTAAGTACTTTTATTGGGGATTCTTACATCTCTTAATACAATCCATACAATCGTCCACCGTGTCAAACACATTTGTACATCTGCTGCCATCATCATCTGCAAAGTATTTTCTTTCTACGTAAGCCCTTTATATCAGCTCTTCATTTTCCCTCTCCCTCCCCCGCCAGCGCTCCCTCGTGGACTCTTAGTAAGTTATAGATTATTATTTTCATATCTTACATTGTCCTGCATCACCCCTCACCCACTTTTCCATTATTCATCCCCTGGGTTATAGATTGATCCTTATGATAGATTCCCTCTTTCTCCCCCCCACCTTCTTATCCTTCTGGTATCTCTATTCTCATTGTTGGCCCTGGAGGGATTATCTATTCTGGATTCCCTGGGTTTCAGACTCTTGTCTGTAGCACTGTGCATGTTCTGGTCTAATCTGATTTGTAAAGTAGAATAGAGGTCATGATAGCAGGGAGCAGGAAGTGTTAAGGAACTAGAGGAAAGTTGTATGTTTCATCAGTGCTATACTGCACCCTGACTGGCTAATCTCTTCCTTGTGACCCCTCTGTGAGGGGATGTCCAATAGTCTCCACTTCATGGCCCCTTCCCCCCCATTCACATTGGATATGACTTTGTTGTGGGTCTTAGATACCTGATACCTGATCCCATTGACACCTCATGATCACATAGGTTGATGTGATTCTTCCATGTGAGCTATGTTGCGTCTCAGCTAGATGGCTGCTTGTTTTATCTTCAAGCCTTTAAGACCCCAGAGGCTGTATCTTTTGATAGCCGGGCACCATGAGCTTTCTTCACCACATTTGCTTATGCACCCACTTTGTGTTCAGTGATCATGTAGGGAAGGTGAGCATCAGAGAATGCCGGATTAGTAGAACAAAGTCTTCTTGTGTTGCGGGAGTACTTGAGTCGAGGTCTAATGTCCACCTGCAACCTTAATTCTAGATGTACCTTCTCATTTTGAGTCATGTCTCATCAGCACATAAAGGCTTAACTCCTACAGGGTTTATTCCATGTACATCATTATGTTTAACACTACTTTGAGAAGGCAGCTGTTCCTCAGTCATATTTTGAGTGCGTTCTGACCTGAGAGACCCATATTCTGGCACTATCTCTGACAAAGTTCGCCTTCTATTTAAAAGATTTTCAGTGTCCACGGTGTTTTGATACTATCCACATGGTTTTTAGTGGCTAACTCGTCTGACGTGGAGAGGCGATTCCTTTTTCATGGCCTGTTCTTAATCTGGCTCAGCTAAAACCTGTGCACTTCAGGTGACCCTGCTGGAGTTTGAAATATCAGTGGCATATCCTCCAGCATCACAGCAACACACAAGCCACCACAGTGGGACAAGCTGACAAGCTGTGTGGACGGCATGATGGGAATGGGTAGAACTATAAGAGACAGGACTTCCCTAGTGAATATATTTGTGTGATTTTTTTGCAATGATTATATTTTCCACTTCTAATTTTAATCAAGTATTAGTTAATCACAAAGATTCTATCAATGTCTATAAACTGTAAATTTTACTTAATTTTAAGTGTTTTCATCACACTTTCATACCATTTCTTCCATATTGTGAATTGAGTGAAGAGTTACAAAGTAGATCACCAATCAGCTTGGCCTTCAAGGACTCACACACATTTCTTTCATCTCATTCATTTGCAGTGTGGCATCATTTACTCTGGCCCTTCCCT